ATTAAACTTACCTGACCACTGGAAGTGAAATACCTTTTGATTTTATAACAACAGCATGCAGCAGAATAAAAATACAGAATCTTTGTATTATGTGATGCTTTGGAATCCACACAATTTAGGGTTACCATATTCTCTTTTTTGCTTTTCAAAATATGGTAACCCTAAATTGTATTTCCTGACTGCCTACTTCAAACAAGTGATCACTATGACAAATCTCATTTTAAATACCCCTACTATTTAAGCTGTGATAATTGCTACTACTAGGAATATTTCTAACCTTCCAACCCAAAAAGAAAACATTTTCATTAGTTTTTTAAAAAGAGCCCAAGAGAAGATGGACACACACACACAAAAGAACAGGGGACATCTGGTAACCCTAGCATAATTAATATACTTATAACAATGCAAATAAGTTAATTGATGACTCTTGCTGAATCGTTCTAGATCCTAGTGGTTATGGGCCTGCTGGAGAAACAAATCAATACAGCTACAAAAAAAAAAAGCTTTTAGCTTAGTCTAGCCTGGAAGAAGTACCCCCCTCCCGACTGCATGCTTGGATCCATGCCACAATAGAAACGAAAATACCTGGAAATTCTCAAGCCACAACAAATAGTTTTTTTTTCCTTTGGGGGGGGGAAATATATTTTTTTTTGAAAAACTGAAATATATACTACTAGGAGTAGGGCCCGTTGTGGGAAGAAATATGACGAGTTCCAGAAGGAAGCTCCAGGTGAGTGTCCCGGCTGTGGCTGGTGGGGCGGCAGGGTGTGTGTGTAGGATCCAGAACACACACACACTGACTGGTGGCTCAGAACTCCTGATATAGGGCAAAATGCTGCCTGGGGGGGCATGCTGGCGTGTTTGCCCCAAAACAATGACTTGATTTGATTGATTTAATTTGTATCCCGCCCTCCTGGTCAAGGCCAGCTCAGGGTGGCTTACGGAACAGGATAAAAATTCCAACAATACATATAAAAGCACAGTAACAGTTAATATAAATACGATGTTAAACCAAACAAAATAATAAAGTGCCAGCATAGTACTTCGCTTTTAAGAGATTTCCAGAGTTCGAACAATAGTTTGGGGGAGGCTTGATGGATTTACCTGGGTGCAACTATACGTGCTAATGTTTGCTTGATGACCCTTGAGTACCAGCTAGGAAAACGATCAGGTTCAGAGACTAGTGTTAATTAGGGTAAATGAGGCAGGGTATGGGATGAGATTAGTTGGTAGTTTATTATTGTCCTTAATTATGTATCTCCGGAAGGTAGGGTTGCCAAGTCCTCACCTGTTGTATAGCGGGGGAGTCCAGTCTTTGTCTGGGAGTCCGCGCGCGTGCCGCAATTACATCACCCGGAAGTGACGCAATCACGTCAGGCACGTTGGAGGCGGGGTCACAATCATCCGAGGGAAAACCATAGAGTTTTCCCTCGGATGATTGTGGCTCCGGCCCCAACGTGCCCAACGTGATTGCGTCACTTCCGGGTGACGTGCTGATGCCGGGCATGGTGCGTGCTTTGGGGTGGGGTTCCCCCCGGGGCCCAATCCGCCTGCGGCCCCCCAGGGGGACTTGGCAAGCCTACCGGAAGGTGAGGAGAGGGCCGCTCCTGACTTACCTTCCAAAAACATTTTCCCAGGCACTGACCTGGCTGGCATCCATGTTTGTGTCACTTCGGGCCAGGCAGTGTATTGCATTTATGATTTTGGAAGGTGATACTATATGAAGGGTGTTTTTATTTCTGACTGTCAAACTGTCCCTCCGCAGAAGGAGGGGTCTGGCTCCCGACAGTAGGGCCCACTGGGAGACAGAGGAGTCTTGACTTTCTAAACTGAAGCTGGCTATGCAGGAACGTACATCATATGGCACTAGGGCTCTGAATGTATAGCACTGCTCTTAGGGAGTTGGGTTAATATTGTCACAGATCGTGTGCTTGCCAACCATATGCATATTTGTGCACAGTTGCCTTATAGCAGGGGTGAGGAATATTTGGCTCTCGAGCCGCATGCGGCTCCTGGCCAAAATGAATGCGGCTCTTTGCCTCTTATCATTATTTTGTATACTGTGGCTCTTTGCCAAGTTTGGATTTTGTTATGCTGCTTCTGAGGATGGACCTCTGAGGAGAGATCTCCGAGCGCATAGTCCCGCCCCCAGGCTGCGTCATCACGTCGTTTGCCAAGTTTGGATTTTGTTATGCTGCTTCTGAGGAGGGACCTCTGAGGAGAGATCTCCAAGCGCGTAGTCCCGCCCCCAGGCTACGTCATCACGTCGTGTGAGTGTTTGTCTGTTTTGGCAGGTCACTGCGTGGTGTGGCTCTCTGACTCTCACAGTTTAAAATTTTGGCTCTTTTTGTCGAACTTGTTCGCCACCCCTGCCTTATAGGATCATATAGGAATATTGTTGTTGTTTAGATTTAAGTCCTGGCCCTGTGATTCATAACACTAACAAAGCAGAATTTAGGGTAGGAAACACAATGACAATCTTGCTGCATCCAGTCTTGTACTTTTTTCTTTCTTTCATCATTATGAGTCATGCCAGAGTGTTGTAGCAATGCAGGACGATGGGCCCAGGACTCTGCATGGGGAACTGTTGTCACAGGTTGATATACATGACAGCAATATATTGTCAGATGAAGCTCTTATGTGGGACAGAACTGAATACAGAAGGAACATAGTGTAGGCAAGATGGGGGAAACTTGTATACATGAACTATATAAAGGGAATTAAGTGATTATAGTTCCTGTCAGGGTGTACCAAGGTTGACCTGTGGTAAGAAGAGTGAATGCCACTTTGTTACAACTCAGATGTGTAAGCTTTAGAATCAGTGGGCCAGACCTTCAGCCCTGGAAGCAATTGGGGGGGGGGGGTTGAACTGGTAGCCCTTAAGTTTCACTATAAAGCACTACTCTGATCCAGGATCACAGATGCTGGAGTATTTTAAATGTTAACTACAGCTTTCTAGAGGAAAAAAAACAATTACTGTAATTTATTGCTACAATTATCATTTACCATGAGCTTCATAGCTGATGTGCCTAACATCAGTCATTGCTATCATATAAAAACCTGGGAGAGATTTAGACCTTAGTCACATATTTTCTTTTTTTAACCCCTCCCCAGCAAAAGCAGAGTGGAAAGAAAAAAAGAACCCTCCCTCCTGTCCACACAGTACTTCCATTGCACTTGCGAATACTTTATGGCTAAAGGACTGAAAATATCCCTACTATAGACATCTGCTGGCTAATGCACATAATGATACCAGTGAGGGTTAATCCATATAATACTTTCCCTTCTATTCCAGATAGAGTTGCCAGCCCCCCCAGTCGGGGTGAGGGTTCCCCCACTTTTCTGGGCTCCTCCCTGCCTCCTCCCTGGGTGGGAAACCCCACCCACATATGGTCCGAAACACAGCACAATGATGTCACCTGGAAGTGATGTCATTGTGCTGCCAACGTCACATGGCAATCCTCTAGTTTTTGGTCAAAACTCTGTGGTAAATTTGGGTTCAAACCATAGATTTTTGCCCAAAAACTAGAGCGTTGCTGCATGACATCAGTGGCATGATGACACCACTTCTGGGTGATGTGAGTACACTGCATGCACTTTGCACACGCAGCAGAAGATCCTGGCAAGGCCCAAAGATCCCCCCCCCCCCAGGAAGAAAGTAGGACCTAGTAACCCTAGTTCCAGAAGCTTATTTACTCTTTTAGGAAACATTTGAAAGCTTTTTAATTTTTTTCATTCTTATTAGATGCCAATCACTTCCTAGTAAACCACTCCAGCAGGGGTGCTCAAGTCCACCCCAAAATCTCCAGCAATTTCCCAACCTGGAGCTGGCAACCCTAAGGGAATAAACAGAAGAAAAAAAACACATGAATACCACTTCCCCCACAGTTCACCCCATATATTATTTTTTTCCTGATTATACTTGAAACTGTAAATTCCTCTGCTCTCGAACTCCAGGTCTTCGGAGTTTATAGACTGTGTGCATGCTGTCTTCTTAGAAAAGGCAACTAGGAGACTCTTGCGTCTGACCTGTTCACTTCCCATCTCTGATGGCTAAGTATGATTTTAGGCGTATCTTTGTAACTGGTGTGTTTTTACAGTGCAATCTTAAACAGAGTTACACCCTTCAAATCCATTGAAGGCAATGGGCTTAAAAGTGTGTAACTCTGTTTAGAAACGCACTGTATTAATCTAAGTGCTATGAACAGCACTCACACTTTATGGTCAGAGATATGGCTATGCTGTGATTATTCTGTATTTTCTTCTTAATTTTACCTGATAAAGTCCCAATAAGGTTTACCCGTAAGAACAGGCACGCACATACGTGTGGAGTTAGCGATCACGCTCTAATTTAGTCCTCTGCAGGGCCTAGGGTTTGTGTCTGCCCCACAAGAAAAGCCAATGTGGGAATTCCGTATCGTTCTTCTTCTTAATTTTACCTGATAAAGTCCCAATAAGGTTTACCCGTAAGAACAGGCACGCACACACGTGTGGAGTTAGCGATCACGCTCCAATTTAGTCCTCTGCAGGGCCTAGGATTTGTGTCTGCCCCACAAGAAAAGCCAATTGTGGGAATTCCGTATCGTTCCCGAAATAAAAGTTTTCCCCTTTGTATAGAACAGCCCTGTAGAGCTACTGCAGGTCCAAGCACGTCCCCTTCAGTGCTGAGGAACGGGGAATACAAATCCCAGCGTGCAACGGCTTCTAGGTAATCGCGAGACGCAGAGAGGCGCTCTGCGACTACACGGTCCAGGAACCCCTCGCGAAACAAGGCCATCTTGCGAGCTTCCTTGTAAGCAACGCCTTTATGGGAACTGTAGTCCTCAAGCCCAAAGGCCGGCTTGGTTCAGTCACAGTAAGAGAACTCGGCGCAGGCGCCTAGATGTAAAAGGCAGTTCCTGTAGCGTACTGAAGCAACTAATAAAGTTTCTCCTCCGAGGAGGGAGGGGGGGAACCCAGCTCGAGCGCTGAGAGGAAAAGAGGGCGGGACCGAGCGCTGGGGAGCGGCGGAGCGGCGGCTGGTCCGGCTTCGCGGGGCTCTCTGTTCTCCGGGGCTCCCGCACAGGAATTTGCCTGGGCTTGAGTGAGTACCGGGCGACCGAAGGCAGGGAAGAGGGAGGGAGAAAGAGAGCGAGGCCGGGCCGGGAGAGGAGCGCGGGTCTGAGGGGGAGGCGGCAGCGACGAGAACGTCTCGTAGGCGTGTAGTTATGCGGAGGTGTGGGCGCGAGGGTCGCGGCAGCGAGTGGGCGTCCGGGGAGGATGGGGCGAGAGGGCTCAGTTGCGTGGGAGTCCGGCGGCAGGGCAGAGGCGGCTGCGGGGGCAACAAGCGTGGGAGGGGCGGGAGGGGGAGAAGGCAGGTGAGGGGATCCCGGGCCGGAGGAGGGAGCTTCGTGTGGGAGGGTGCGATGGGCGGGCGGGCGGTGTGACTGTGTTTCTTCAGAGGGGGGCGCGGGGGCGGCGAACAGCAGGAGGAGGCTTGCCAGTTTCCGCGCCTGGCCGCTGTTCGACCCGAGAGGCTGGATTTTGGTCTGATCCAGCAGGGCTCCAGGCCCGTGGCTAAGTGCCCCCTCCCCGACTTAGAAATTCCTGGCTACGGGCCTGCAGGACTCTCCTTATGTTTGCTGGGACACGGGGCTTGGGAGGGACGGTGCTGGCTGTAGCGGGAGGAGGGGGTGGGGAAGGTGGGTGTGCAAGGAAACTTCAGATGGAGGAGTGAGGGATTCTGGCCCAGGACGTGCTCTGAGTGGCATTGGGTGTGCTGATGGGTTGGGTGGTGTGGAGGACAGGTGTGATGGGATGGGGATTATCTGTTTAATGAGCATTTTCAGGAAAGGCTGTACCCTGTGTTTGCATAGCTCTGTGGCATGCAGCGTTTTCTCTGAAGTGTCCGCCTACCTTTTGACTAGGACTTTCAGAGTGACTTTGTATCTTGGGAACCCTTAGCAGCGCATGGTATAATTAACCTGGAATTGATTTTATGCAACATCCCCAGTGGTCAGGGGTTGATCTTCTTCAGAGCCTGATGCTTTTTAGGCTTCTAACATATTTGTCTTGAATCATAGAGGCGGCGGTCACACACACTAAATAATCCACTGTCAGTGCACTTTCCAATGGGATTTTGGCAGTTCACACAGTATAAGCCATTTGGAAAGTGCACTGAAAGTGGATTGAAACGGATTATTTAGTCTGGGTGACTGCAGCCCAAGTGACATTGGTTGTGGTGGAAGTGCTGTGTTGTTTTTTGTTTGTTTGTTTGTTTTGCATAGGGTAGGTCAGGGTATAAATACTGACAAACCTTCTCAGTGGGGTTTTAGAGCAGTATGTGAGTTTAAAATGTGAACACGTATTGGGGTGTCTAATCTGAAGCTGCTGCTAAATTACAACAGAAAGAACAGTTCTAATTTAAATAGGATTTGATGCTGAGTGTAACATTTTTTTAAGGTGACTTCAGAAGCTTTCTGCTATTTGCCTTCCTTGTTTGGCTAGCATTTTAAAAAGTGCCAAAAATCTCTTCGCCAAAATCATAGGATGCTAATATAGCAAGTTTTTCTCATTTTTGCTGGATTCAGTTATAGGTTCAAAAATAAGAACTCAAATATGTAAATATTTGTAAAATATATGTAAAATATATGCAAAATAACTCAAACATGGAGTGTTACAGTTCAGAAAAAATGAGAACTAATATTGATTGTATTGTATGGAAGACTTCACACATTTTGCTAATGTTTAACATTTTAAAATTTCACATCTATATGAAATTATTGAGGGCTGGTGCTTTAAGTGTTTGTACACAGATAGAGTCACCAGTTATTCCTTAATAGGCTGAAAAGACCTATGCAGTTTGTGGGTTGGGCTTATTCTAGTAGTCAGTCCACCTCTTCTTTTAAATTTTTATTGATGTATATAGAAATTACAATTAACAGGAAGAGATTGATAGTCCAAAGATAAATCAATATTATGAGATTAATACTAACATTAAATTTAGTGCTTCTGGTAAAACAGTGGTGTGGCTGCTAAGCTAAAGTGAAGTGGTGCACTTGAGGCACTTTGATTAAGATTGCTTGACTCTACACCTGTGGAAATGAAGAGGGAAAAGAAATAATAAGTAAATGAAAAAAGAAATAAAAAGTAATAAAGTAGTAAGATAAAAGTTAATGATAAAGAAAACCAGGTTAAAGTGAAAACATTTGTCTGTATACTAGATTAGAAGGTAGTAGATCTTGGCGAGTATATGCTCAAAGAAGGGAAACTATTTCTGTTTGAATGACGTTCTCCTAGGATAGAGATCTGATTGAAGTACTTTATCATTGATTTTCTCCATCATCATAATCAGTCCCCCTCTTGACCTTTTGTATTCTGAGCCTACAAAGAGTCCTTGTTTGTGTTCTGGGAGTTAATGACATGCTTTTATTTTTAAAAGATACAACCCTAATGAGTGATAAAATAATCCTGAGAGTAGAACTTTCTAAATTACAGTAGAAAAGAGCAAGAACATAAGACCATAAGAGATGCCAATGTTGGATCAGGCCAATGGCCCATCCAGTCCAACTCTCTGTCACACAGTGGCCAAAAATACCAGGTGCCATCAGGAGGTCCACCAGTGGGGCCAAGACACTAGAAGCCCTCCCACTGTTGCCTCTCCCCCAAGCACCAAGAATACAGCGCATCATTTGCCCCAGACCGAGAGTTCCTATCTATACCTTGTGGCTAATAGCCACTGATGGTACTCTGCTCCATATATTTAATTCCCTCTTGAAGCCGTCCATGCTTCTAGCCTCCACCACCTCCTGTGGCAGTGAATTCCATGTGTTAATCACTCTTTGGGTGAAGAAGTACTTTTATCTGTTCTACCCCAACTGCTCAGCAATTTCATCGAGTGCCCACGAGTTCTTGTATTGTGAGAAAGGGAGAAAAGTACTTCTTTCTCTACCTGCTCTATCCCATACATAATCTTGTAAACCTCGATCATGTCACCCCTCAGTTGTCGTTTCTCCAAGCTAAAGAGCCCCAAGCGTTTTAACCTTTCTTCATAGGGAAAGTGTTCCAACCCTTTTGTCGTTCTAGTTGCCCTTTTCTGCATTTTTTCCAATGCTATAATATCCTTTTTGAGGTGTGGTGACGAGAACTGTGCACAGTACTCCAAATGAGGTCACACCATCGATTTATACAGGGGCATTATGATACTGGCTGATTTATTTTCAATCCCCTTCCTAATAATCCCCAGCATAGCGTTGACCTTTTTTATTGCAGTCACACAGTGTCTCGACATTTTCAGTGAGTTATCTACTACGACTCGAACATCTCTCTCTTGGTCAGTTTCTGCCAGTTCGGACCCCATCAACATGTATTTATAGTTAGGATTTTTGGCTCCAATGTGCATCACTTTGCACTTGGCCACACTGAACCCCGTTTACCACGTTGATGCCCACTCTCTCATCCTCGACAGATCCCTTTGGAGTGCCTCGCAATCCTCCCTGGTTCTCACCAGCACCCTGAACAACTTTGTGTCATCTGCAAATTTAGTCACTTCACTGCTTACTCCGAACTCCAAATCATTAATGAACAAGTTAAAAAGCATCGGACCAAGTACTGATCCCTGTGGTACCCCACTGCTTACCACCCTCCACTGAGAAAATTGCCCATTTATACTCACTCTTTGTTTCCTATTAATGAGCCAGTTTTTCATCCACAAAAGGACTTTTCTTTTCAAAAGGTCACTTGTTCAGTAACTCACAAAAGCTCATATCTTGTCACAAATTTCGTTAGTCTGTAAGGTGCTACTGGACTCTTGCTCTTTCTTACTACATACAGACTAACATGGCTACCCTTCTTGATCTTTGTAACTTACAGTTACTCTAATGATTTCTATAATCATGTCACAGTTTTGTTTAAAAAGTATTTATTTAGGAACAGTCTGGTTATGTGATCCTTGCCTAGTTATGAAAATATGTAACGGAATAAAAATTATATAATGGTGCTTTTTTATACACCTTTAACAGTGACATGTAGTATGTAAACCACTGCTCAGCTTCATGTATGTGCTGTGCCAAGTAGAATTTAATCATGTAACAATATTTGTTCATTTGTTTAAATCAAATATTAAGCTAAAATGGAAAGTGTTAAGGCAAAGACAACTTTTTTTCTTGCATGAATTTTTTCAAGTAAGAAAGTTCCAAAGGTAGCATTTCGCTTGTATAATCCATGGGGCAATGTGGTGTGCCCATGATTGTCCTGTTTGGTGTAGTGTTTAGGAGCATGGACTCTAATCTGGGAGAACCGGGTTTGATTCCCCACTCCTCCACATGCAGCTGCTGGTGTGACCCTGGGTCAGTCATAAGTTCTTTCAGAGCTGTGCTCTCAAGGGCAGTTCTCGAGAGAGCTCTCTCAGCCCCACCTACCTCACACAGTGTCTGTTGTGGGGAGGGGAAGGGGAAGGGATTGTAAGCCGCTCTGAGACTCCTTCGGGTAGTGAAGGGCAGGGTATAAATCCAAGCTTTTTTTCTTCTTCCTCCTCTCCCTCTTTCTCCTCATGTAGTGGTATCTGGTAGAAGATACAGAAATTGTGTCCTCATTTTCAGAAAGCTTAAAAATTTCCACCTCTCTGGCAGTTGGGGCTTAAGGCAGTTCCTGCTGGTGGTGGAAAGTGCTGGCAAGTCACAGCTAACATATGGCGACCCTGTAAGGTTTTCAAGACAAGAGATTTTCAGAGGTGGTTTGCCCTTGCCTGCTTCTGCCTCACAATCCTGGTATTCCTTGGAGGTCCCCCTCCAAATACTAGCCAGGGCCGACCCTGCTTAGCTTCCAAGATCTGACAAAATCAGGCTAGCCTGGGCTATCCAGGTCAGAGTGGTTTCCTGCTAGAGCATGTATAGCATGTCATACGTATGAATGTGAATGTCTTTTAAATCTTTGTGGCTTGTATGCTAAAATAATCTGGTTAGTTACATTTATTGTATTTCCTAATTAAAAGGATTGTTCTTAATACTTTGATTTCCCACCCTTCCCTTGCTATTAAGACTCAGCTTGAGAGGTGGTATAGAAATATTTTAGCCTCTAATTAAAATGGATTCAGTATGGCTAATC